CAAAGGAATAAGCTTAAAGTTACCTTGGCCGGGGTAACTCTGGGAGAGGGCTGTCTCCGGTACCTGAGACTATATAACTGGGGCTTAAGAGTCTGACTAGATATTGTAAGTTTGTCATTCAGAATACTAAATTAAATTGCCTGATGAAATGTCTGGCGTTTCACATATTTTAGCGCCCTAAACGAGCAACGTATCAATTTGTTCATTGTTATCAAGTTGGTTGGTTTTATTATCAAGTTGGTTCATTTGTTATCTTGTTCACCACATGTTTTCTGGCCTGTACCCCTGCAATGAATATATTTAGTGTCCTTCCACTTCCTCAGTGTGACTAAGCATAATTTTAACAGCCATGGAATATCACTATATTTTGGATTCAAAAGGGGAGCTATATATTGTTAGGCTTTTTGCAACAGTTAGTCATGTGACATGCTTTCAAGAACACACTGATTTAGTCATTGGTAATTATGTATAGTCTAATGAATTGGAAAGAACATTTACAAACAAGCCTGAGGGGAGAGGGTACTCCACATTTAAGCTATATAGGTATGTGCTGCTGTGAATGGTATGGTTTTCAAGCAGTTTAGTCTAGGAAAGGGTAATGTTCTGTATAGAAATCAATCAGTTTTGGTCTAGAACAGGGTATAATTTACTGCAAGAGTGGTCGGCGTATTAAATAATTTAACCTCTCACCAATGTGGCGCAGGTTCAATGCCAGCCCTGTGCCATATGTGGATTGAGTTTGTTGTTGGTTCTCGCCTTACTCCGAGGGTTTTTCTCTGGGTACTATGGTTTTCCTCCCTCTGCAAATACCAACATCTCCAAATTCCAGTTTAACTAGGATAGAGGAACCGCATGAAAGCTAGCTAAGCCTGATGTAGCTTCCCCTCTGAATATTAGCCATGTTCTAAACAAGCAGGGCACTAGGTACAAATATTTAAAATCGATGGAATTGAGAAATGGGACCCACCATCTGAAAAAGCAGCCAAACAGTAGTAAGTTTAACAAATCAGAGAGTTATTGGTTTAAATGCAAAGGCATGGTACAATTTTAAAAAATGCTAAAAACAGCTTTGTATGGATTGTAGGGATGCAGGGTTTTGGTTCATTTTGAAAAGTTAGCACAAAGATTTCCAAATCATAAAGATATTATTATTATTATTATTATTAT